CTTTTTCCACCGTTGCACACGAATTCATCTACTACAACTTTATGAAGTTTGGGAAGTAGGTTACAGTAGAGAACTATCGTCACGAATCTGACGAAGCGAGTCAAGAGATTGCGACGTACAGATGCAGTGCTGAAAAGGTCCCTTCTTTTTTCACGAGAACATAGGACCACACATTGCACAAGCAGATCCTCGGAAGCTGAAATATTTGCTTGGAAATTAATATCTGGTTTCTAATTTCATTACTCTTGTATGTTTTGACACTAATTTTTTTCTTCGGGTGCTGTGTTTTGTTTTATATGACCCGTCTCCAGGTCTACTACGTGGATCCCAGCACTTCTCACATTCGATCCATTTCCTCGCATTCATTGTCCACGAAGATTTTCCAACTTTTACGTGGTTCTGTTGCTGCTTGAGGATTTCCATTTCATTTTGAATGTCATAGAATACTGGTCGAACAGTTCCCTTGGAGTCCTGAGATAGCCGGGCTGGAGCGTTCCCAATTGGATTGCAGAGAGTGGTTTTTCCGAGATAGGTCCGGTGCCAATTTCCCGACCTTGGAAGGATGAGAGGGCCGGTTGGTCTGGAGCGGAACCGAACTACATCATGCTAGTGACGCCGAACATCACTACCACTGTGCTATCCGCCCACTCGAGTGCCGAATTATTTCATACAATCATAAAGCTCACTTTGCGCATATTCGTTCCGTATAATTGAGTTGTACTAGAATCTACTAGAAATTCAACCTTCGTCGTCCGCAAGATAAACGGCTCGAAACAGTAATGAAGTATAGGGTAAAGGAAGTGTTAATGGAGGCACAGTGAAAAATTGTTTCCGAAAATTCCGTCGTTGTGAGTTTGACCTTGGAGATCAGGTAGTTCGCGGACGTCGTGCTATTGACGTTAATGAATTGAAAAAAGCAAATTTGTACAGGCAACTACATGCACAACTGTTCAAGAGCTTGTAAAGGAACAGATCGTAAACATCTTCACTATTCCGGAGCATCTAAGAAGAGTTTTTCAATTCATAAAAGTCTAAGGACTTGTCAAATGGACGTAGCACGGATTGAATGCCAGCAAAGGAAGTCGCCGTTTTGTGGTATCGTCTGTGGTTCTTTTGCTCAACCATAGTGACCCGTTTCCTGACCGTATTGTGAAGAGTGACGAGAACTGGTTTCTATACGACAACCGACGGCAATCGGCTTAGTGGAGATCCGCATCACTTCACAGAGTCAAAATTGCATCGGAAGACGGTCATGCTGTTCTAGATGGAAGGTTCCAAATCCTTGAAATTTTATGTCACTGGGATAGATAAACTTGCTTCTTGACGGTCAAAATATGTGGAGTCTAACGGTTATTTTAACAAGTAAGTCTTTGCTTGAGATGAGTTTCAGTTACATTGAACTGGTGGTTGAACCTAATTATAATGCTTTTAAATTGGCGGTCCGAAACCGTATTTCCTTTTGCACTAAGCTAATGTTAGAGTTAATGAGCACTATAAGTATGCTTCACATTCTTGTCCAGCAAACACGAAGTCCTATTTCATTTCTTTATTACGATATTGTTCGGCGGATTTCGCCTTCCTTAGAGCCTGAAAAGCTCAAGTTGACTGCAATCTGCCTAGCCAAACACTGCCATAACTAAGCAGAGAAAGTGCTATGCCGAATTTCAAGCATTTTAAACAAAATAACTTCTTAGCACGCTCACCACTTTCTATGAGTTTTCCACTGAGTATCTCACGTGGAGAATGGACACAAACTTATGGAAAGGAGTGAGTGTGCTAAAAACCTATTTTGTTTACAATGCGATTGATTTCTTGGTTGAGCACTTTCTCTGGTCGGTTATGGAGGTGTTTGGCTGGGCAAATTGCAGTCAACTTGACCTTTCCGGGCTCTGAGGAAGGCGAAATCCGCCGAAATGTCAGCTTCACTGTAATAAAATAGGACCGCGTGTTTGCTCAACAAGAATATGAAGGATTATTTGATCAATGCCGACGTTTAGTAGGAAGTCGGTCAGAGGAATTACTGCCAGTATGGTTCTATGCAGAAATTAGTATCGCTGGACTTGCTGAAACTATAGGTGCTTGATTAATATTTCATGTATGAATTGTAGCACTATTGACAGGATCTCTTCTACATCTTATCACTTAGTGGGATAAGTTCAAGCTCAACTTTTTTTTGGTTAACCTCATACTTTGTAACTATGTGGACTTCTGCATTTTTGCTGATCAAGTTCCTTGCAAGAGCTTGCAAAACGCTCATTTATTAAAGTCAAAGCTTCTCCCTGTGTGAATGTTCCATCCTAGAAATTCCGTTTTTCTATTATAGAACTGTACCAAAAATGGGCAACAGCAGCTCGCTCATGCTTCGGGATGAGGAGATCGAGGAAATTTCGAAAGAGACAGAGTGTGAGTTTATTCATATAGTGAAGGTATTAATGAAGGATAAAGGAAAGAGTAGTCTCCAATGATCAACGCACGTCGTAGATTCGACTTTATCACGCATCATAGAGTTAATTGAATGCCTATACAGTGAATTACATTGAGCTACCGATGTGTCAAGTCAGTGTTTTTACCCTACCAGATAATTTTGGTATCAACTTACCGACCCCTGAGGTATATAAAGCTTAGTAAGCCTGAGTTGTAAGATCAAACCAACGAGCGATCCAGTGCATATTGCAGGACACCTCCAACCATTACGGTTAATAATCATTTGTATCGCTTGTTATCCTTTTGATCGCCGACTGATTTGAGCGGACGCCACTTAATTCTACATTTGTGCCTGCTCTGTGCCATAATTGACAAGCGGGTTTCAGTCATTGTGCGGAACCCAAAGAACGCATATTTTTCTTAAGGAACCTGCGAGAAGAACTCTAACCATATGATAGACAGTTATACTGTTTTACTCTTGACAACATGTGAGACCCAGTTATCTATAGCTTTTCTCCACCAGTTGTCGTTAAGTGGAATCGTATGTGAGGTCCACTTGATTCGCGACACATTGGCGTACGCAGCAGCTTCTCTGATTATTAGTCGTCGACGTGGATTGGAACTTCGAATTAGCACTTCGGATTCTCACTCTAACTAGCGTTAGTCGAGATACTTCTAGTGTCAACGTATCGATGCTGCATTCGAAAACGCTGAACGGTATTTCATTTTCTTTACGTAGAATACAGCTTTCTTGAGTACGTGTTAATGCACAGTATAGTACAGTCCAATACGAGATCTAGACTGGTGTTCTTCGCGCTTTTGATTCCTTGATCCCGACCTATTTATAGTCTCATCAGGCTTCCCTTTCATTGCTGCTCAGTTCTTAAAAGTATTCTTTCATCATGTTGTTGATACACTTTTTTGAAGCTGAGTCATTCACCATCTCGACACACACCTTAAGATTGAAACCACAACCGACTTTTTCCACAGGCGATAGCGGAACCGGCTAGAATTCCTTCCGCTTTCCTATTTGTTGTTATTGTGACGTCGTCATCAGCAAATTAAAGACGATATAGCCGCATGACAATCTACTTTGGTCTTGATTTCTTTTTTACGAAAACTCAGTGTTCATTGGTAGGAATGTCTCTTTCTTAGAGTCGATAGAAATAAGACGGCATTAGGCTTTCTTAGGGCTGACGTGCTACCTACTGCGTCACCTATGTCCTTGCTTAACCAATTAACTAACAATATCGATTTATGCTTCCCAGATCATTCTCGTTGACAGGTGAATGCTGATGGAAACGTTAGGGTAAAAAACAGGCTAAGAGAAAGATTGGAATTTGTATGTAAGTAGATTATTTGTTGGATGCGACTCCCGATCGCCTTCCATATACTTCGCCGTCACTTGGTTGCAGGATTTTGGCCGAATGGACTCATAGAATACAATTCGCATAAAAGAAAACATCGGCGTACACATGCATGGATATTTCCTTCTAAACACGGAACGTATGTGCCAAATCAGCGCAGCAGAAACAGGGTTCTTATCCTCTGAACCTACCTTCATCACAGCGAAGCATGAGATCGCATTCTGTCCGCTACCTAAGGAGCCATGGCTTTTCATGTTTTTCTAGCGTCGTGGAGAACACTTTTTTAAGGGGACTCCAAACAACTTAGCTGATTCTGATCGGATCAAAGGTCGCGATACAGTTTGTGTGTATGCAAGCAAACATACAGAATGTCCAAGTTAGATCTCCACAGCGGTGACAAAGTGTCCGTCGTTGAATCTATGTTATCTTCAGGGCAAGTGAAAGCATGTTTTCGGTTCGCGTTTAATTTCAATTGACCAGTTGCAGATGCTTCGCGTGAGGCAATGAATTAATGGAATAGTTATAATGAGTGTTATTATTACTGTAAAAATGGGATGCATGTAGCGCAGTTATTAGAGATGTTATGCGCGCATGGTCGTTCGTTCGACCCTGCGACTTGGGCTCACCAAGCCTGCCATCCTTGCAGGCAGGATTGGCAAATCGGTATGGCTGATTAGGGAGGATAGGAATACTGATTTGATACAACGAGAGGACCGTTTAGGTCACTCTATAGGTAAAGCATTAATTAGGTTACCTTCACGATGCGCTTTACGCTGTAGATTTTATTGGTGTACTTGGATACTTGGATAGTTGGACGGTCCGTCTCTACTGGTTGCGAGGCCCCATCACAATTTCCATTTTTTTTTCCGGAGTTTTGCTGGTTTAACCATTGTGGTTCCCTGGAGTCCTGAGGTCAGCCTAGCCAAAACCTGGCCCAGGTCCTCACCATAGGCAGTCTGTGCTCTTGTTGATTTGGTACTAGGTCGGTGGTTGAGCCTGGCACTGGTTTACTCTTAGCCGGGCTTCCTGTTGGAAACGCCGATCTCCTTCTCAGCTTGGGAGCTCCGTCCGAGGGGATGAATCCTCCCGCTGTACATCACAGCTCGACATCCAAGAACACCTCTCAACCATGATGAGGCGGTAAACCGTTGGGAGGGTTTTATTGGTATAAGAATAACAGTGATACATTGATGCTGTTACTGGTACAGTTGTTACTGATATTTTCTTCTCGTTTTTTTTTGAATTCTTTGATCTACTTGTTTCTTTTTCAGTCAATAAAAATCAAATTGTTCGACTCTACAGTCGTTTTCTGTCTTTAGATAAGAAAGGTGAGTTATTGCTCGATTATGGATGTTATTTGAAGGTGGCTTGTTTTTGAAAGAATTTCAAAGCGATTACCAGGAGGTCCTATTGGATATAGATTCTTCTCTTATGTTTTGCTTTCACTACCGAAGACAATCCGAAGCATTAGTGACGGAGTTAACTGGTAATCCTAAAGCTTCCCCAGTGATTTTCACCTTTTTGCATTACTGAAAATGTCATGAGACTAAATTTTGGTTTTACTAACTTGTCGCTATAGGTGAGTTTTGCAAATTCAGCGATCTGTTCAGGTCAAGGGTTTCTGTCACGCGACGATTTCCTAAATGTGCCAGAATTAGCTGTGAACCCCCTGGGTGATCGTATCGTGGATGCCTTTTTTACACTAGCGTAAGTTAATGCAAATTTTTGAGTAGGAAATTTCGATAGTCCATTAGCTAGAACTTGTTTGTAAACCTTCCTCAGTTTTATTTTACCCCACTGCACTATTACTTACTTTAATATTTGGACGACTCGTCCACACCAATTGTGCGGGCCCCTGTACAATCTCCATTTTTTCGGAGTTCTGCTCGTTTACCTATCGTGGCTCCTTAGAATCCCAAGGTCAGCTTGGCCAAAGTCTACCACAGGTCGTCACCACCACAGGTAGTCACTGTCCTTGTGGATCAGAGGCAGATTTACCACCATGCGACTTGTTTGATACCGGGACGGTGGTGAATCCTGGTATAGGTTTACTCTTAGCTGAGCTTCCTGATGGAAACGCTGGACTCCTTCTTAGCTTGGGAAACCCTGCCAGCGGATGAATCTCAGCGCTGCACATAGCAGTACGACACCCAGGGACACCTCCCAGCAACGATGAGGAGGTAAACCGTTGGGAGGACTGCTCCATAACCTCCACAGTAAAATATTGGCTGAAGACGAGGCAATGCCAAATGGAAAATACAGTATTGTTGCCCCTTCATTTCCATATCTTAACAATTAAGTAATCACTAAATACCAGACTGCAGTTAATAGAAAGTTTTTCTAAGCTTCTAGCACTACTGTTTTGTATTTCATTCCTTTAGTGGTGAAAACGAACAACAGTTAAACTTTCGCCAATTTGTGCGTATACTAGCGCATTTTCAACCGATAAATCGATCGAAGAAGAACTCATTGAATGGAAGAAAGGAGAAGCTGAAATGTAGGTTTTCGAATTAGACATTTTCCTTAGTCGTTTATGCCTTGCGTGTGGTCGCGCCCCTTCAGTTTTATGCTTTCCACCTGATCTTTGTTAGTGATTAAAGAGGTTTCTATCGATGAAACGTAGCTACACTTGTTGTGTGTGGCGCAGTGCTCAAAGGCGCTCTGCAGCACGCATGGGATAGATCCCAGAGCCCCAGGCTCACTTAGCGTTGCATCTTTCCGGAGTGGCCAAATTGGTACCAGACTTGTCTGGGAACATAGCAGCACAGCGTCGATAAATCGGTAAGCCACCGCGAGTAATTGTAAAGGCCAAGTATGCATTCAATTACCTCCAACGATGATAAATGAAGTCGAATGCATGGCGCTGCCCTCAGAGATGGACTAATTCCGAGAGCTTTATCCGTTTATCCTTTGGCTTGCTGTATTCAAATGAAACCATAAAGGGAACGTTTACATGCTGATTTAGTATATATACGTTCCTTAATCTGCTTCATCCCTTCAGATGCATAACGTAGTTTTCAGTCGCTTTTCAAATGTACGACTTAAACAAAAATGGGTACATTACACGTGAAGAGTTCAAAGTTATCCTTAACAGTATGGTAGGTGCAAACATTACTGCAGAACAGGTAAGATCTGGTCTTTGACCTTGTTGATTTTTTGCTATAAAACAACTTTCCTTTCAGCTCGACAAGATAGCGGATAGAACTATTGAGGAAGCTGATGGTGATAACGATGGACGTATATCTTTCGATGAGTTTTGCAGGGTTGGTCGAATTACAATCAGTTTTGTTCCGTCACTCGTTATGATTTTTTTAAAAACAAGTTATTAAAGGCGATGGAAAAAACTGACATCGAAGAGAAGATGTCCATCCGATTCCTCAACTGAATGATTTTCACTTGGAAGAGTTTCTACTAGGAACTCAAATGTACGGTTATATTAATTGGCCTTGAAATTAGTCCTAAAAGTTTTATTGTAAACCCGTTGATCATGTTTTACAATAAATAATTTCTTTGTTGTTACACCTCTAGAAAAGATCTACTCGTTTTATTGTAGTTTTCTGTCCTTTTAATGGAAAAAGTCTAAATGAAATGAAAAGACCAAATATATTGTCAATCACAATGACGACAAGACATTTTCAAAACTCCGGACCGCAGGTGTCTGGGGTGAGAAATGAACGCACTATTACCCTTTTCGGGAGCTATGGTTTTCACCACCACACCATGCGCGCCCTTCATTTCGTCTGTCTCTCAGCTAGTTTTTTATCGATCAATGCTATAAGTGATCACCAGTTTACAAAATTGTTCTAGCTGAGAGACAGGCGAAACAAAGGGTCTGCATGGTGTGGTAGTGAACGCGTTAGACCCCGGAAAAGTACTAGCACGTTCGCTCTCCTCCGCAGACACCTGCGGTCCGCGGTTTTCCAACTATCTCAGCATCGTTGTGGTTGTATTACACATAATACCCTATCGTGAGAAATTGTAAAGTGCGATTAATAAGAAGTTAAAATTGTATTGTCAGTTACATTTCAGATCTGATTTGTCAGCTGTAAAGAATCTAATCATTTCCAAACTGCGTGTTCGTTACCTCATGTGACATGATAAAGACTTGATAGTTGGTCCGTCATACCACTTTAGTAGAAGTTGTAGTACCACGCTACTTCCCTAACCTTGAATTTCTTTCGAAAATACTTTATTCAAATAGTTGGTAAATGGGAGTAGTTCTCATTTTGATGAGATCGAAATCACTGAGGAAAGCAAGAATGCATGGGCGATTGTTCATCGAATGGATTTTATGTCTCCCTGTTAGGACTGCCGGCATCATCGCTTCGTTTTCCGTCTTTCCTTGCTCTCTTTTTTCTTCTTTCACGATCCTTATTCATCGGCAAGAGAGCTTCCACCGTTGTATCCTGACCAGCACCGGCCACTGAAGTTGTGGTGGTATTGCCTCAATTTTGGTCTTGTCATAAAGCATACTCACGCTGTTCTTGGGTAAATGTTCCATATTCGGCCATTTTCACAATTGTTAGCACTTTCGAACAGTTGACGTGAACGGCTGCTCCGGCTTTGCAATTTGATTCACCAGGCGATGACCAAATGGACAATGTCCGTGGTCCGAACGACTAGAAGTTCAGTTATGATGTTCGATTACATTTGCTTTCAAGCTATCTCTGTTTGTTAGAAGGTAAATAGTAGACGACTTAAGTGTTCTATAAGGAGCAAAGGATTCAACTAAGGGCGAAGTTTTGCGGAATCCAGCCGATCTCTAATCTCTAGGTAATCTCTAATCATTAGCATGCTTTTTGAGCCCATTGTAGGAAAAGTTAGCTGGTCAGTAATGCTTTCATATGACTATGTGTAATATAATGCGAAATAATAGGATTAGCGCATTAGTGCTTGGATACTTTGATAACCCGTGCTCAATGATTGTGTGGGCCCAGCATTATCTCCATTTTTTCGGTGTTTTGCTGTTTTAGCCATTGTGGTTCCCTGGAGTACCTAGGTCAGCGTAGCTAAAGTCTGCTCCAGATCGTCACCATCTCACATAGTCGCGATCCTTGTGGATCAGGGCGAGATTTGCCACCATGAAACGAGTTTGATATCAGGACTGGTGTGGATAATGGTAAATGATAAAATGGGACAGAGTAATAAATCTCATTAAAGTGTGGTTCCTTTTTCGCACTATAAAGATTCGTCCAGTGAAGAAATGAGTAGGTATGAGAGTAAATCGGCTTAGAAATGCAAACACTAACGACGTCATGGTTGCTGTGGCATGTGTTTGTTTACGGGGAGTTCATTGTCTTACCTGGTAACCTTGCTTTACGGGATTTCTGCTTCTGACCAGCATTTCCATCCCAAGTGTCTTTAGAATAGCTTCTGTTTGGTCAATCATCGGATTGAATCTACGGCCACGAGCACCTGGAGAATTTCGTTTTTAATACCATTATTTGAATTGATCACTCTTCTTACCTGGTATAAGACCAGTTGTTTTGCTAACAACGCTAAATATAAGATCTGCTGCGATAGTGTCCTTCTTTATATGATAAATTGGTCGCCGAATGTCGGTTATATCGCTCAGTTTTGTCATCTAAATCATCAAACAAAGACCTGAGCAGTTGGTTAGGATGGATCTCGCTTTTTTAATACTTGATAATGTGTTTCAAAAGCAATTTTTGATGAAGCAAAGTGTCATTTCAAGAAACACTTGTTCTATGCCGCTATCACAAAGAAGTGAACGGTTCAAAGGCACAGAGACCTTTCCACCCACGCACTTATGGTCCTTCTATGCTCTTTTATTGTTCTTTTGTGTTATCCCTCACAGTCTGTTTCAAGAGCTGTAACTATAGTACCATTCATCTATCGCTTTGTATTCAAATGATGACCAGGTGAAGATAAAAAATAAGTAAAGTTCTCGCCGTTGATCAATCCCTGAGGGATGCCCCATGCATTCGACTTCATTGGGCATCGTTAGAGGTGACTGAATGCATATGTGGCATATACAGTGACCAGAGGTTGCCTATGGATATATCGAGCCGGTGCTGCAGCCCTCTTGGACAAGTCTGGTGCCAATCCTCCGACTCCGGAGAGATGAAGTGCTTGGCGGGCCTGGGGCACGGAATCGATCCAGTGTGTTTCAGGACGCCTGTGATCACTGCACCACAGGCGCGACTTGATTACCAGGCAGAGATATTAAATGTTAGTCCTAACTCTTTGTGTAATTCCACCGTGGCAGCAGAAAATCGTGTCGGCGACCGTAGCCGCCAGAGGTAGGTATCCACAAGCTCGCTGAATGACGCCCTCCAAACAACGAGTTACACGACGTGAGAAGCGGCCCTAAAGAAAGCGTTTTAGTGATTGAGCTTCATGCTTCAAAGAAGCGATCATCAGAGGAAATCAGGTTTCACTATAGAATGAGCGAACCGGTCCATAGCACACCAAAAAGCTGGTCGCTAGTGAGAATGACACATTTCAGATACGACAACAAATCGAAAATTCGTAAACAGATTTTTTATCAACCAGTGAGTGTATAGCATGGGATTTTCTTTATTATTAGCCTACGGTTCAATAGCACCTCTCGCAAGCACGAAAGTTTAAATTGGCCCGAGTGATTACTAGTGGATAATTTCTGTAGTAGGACCTACTTCTATGTTCATTGGGTACACTTCTGACACACCACGTAGTAGGTAGACGTGATTCGGCATTTGCTTCTGAAAATATCCCAGTGGAGTGAATGCAGTGGAAAGCATATATCATATTATAAAGTAGGTGAGCAACATGTTATTTTAGCTAAAAATCCTATATGATTTTCAGCTTACAGCGTTATATTTCATTCAAAATGGGTTTGGAATGAATGATAATGTAACGGATTCGGTACTTATTGAAGCGGGTTTCTCATTAAGCTTAATTATTTAAGTAGTACATGTTCAGTTAAAGCCACAGACGTATGATACATTCTTGGAAAGTATACATAACCAGGGGTGCAGATAGCGCATTAATAGTGATGCCCTAGTGTTTGAACAACGCCCTCGTTAGACCCATACCAGGCGAGGAAAGCCGCTCGTCTCAACCAAACTGTGAAATCAGAACAAGAGTTGTCTGGAACGCTCCTTCGGATCCAGTGGACCTGGGAACGTCCTGGCACGACGGTCCTACAATTCTAGTGAGAATCAAGTAGATCAGCATTCAACGACATTCAGAAAAAGACCAAAAAATCGTCAGGCAGGAGCTGAACATGCGTGCAAAATCTGACTAACTTCACGAACGATTACTGCGAGTAAACGAGCCGAGAAGTGCTGAAATCCACACAGTATCTATGATGTCAGGTTGGGTGAAGTAGAAACAATCCAGTCAGCTTAGGCCAGGCACGTCCTAATTTTCTTTTGTAGGGCGTATGTGGCGCAGTAGTCGAACGCGCCCCGCGGTACACACAAGGGATCGATCCCCGCGGCCGTGGCTCACCAAGTCCTCCATCACTCAGAGGTCGGCAAATTGGTGCCAAACTTGTCTGGGAGGATAGCAGCACTGGCACGATATGTCAGTAGGCACAACGAGTTATTGTAAAGGGCAGATATGCATTCAATCACCTCCAAGCGATGCTTAATGAAGTCGAATGCACGGTGCATCCCTCAGGCGTCATAGAATATTCACTAATTTTTTCATATTACCTTAAGTGCGAAAAGTAGAGTGATTGTTTCGAGCGAATAATAGCGTCCATCAGCCGTATAGCCTCCAAGGAAAAGAACTTTCCTTTTCGGAGGCCATCCATTGGAATGTAGCCATCGGTAGACCGTGCTGCAATCAAAGTATCAGATAGCTTCAACTTATTCCAATAGCTTTGACGTCCATTGGACATTAGAAGAGCTCTAATTAGATGCAGCATCATTGAATCTAAGGTTCTGAAATAGTGTTTAAACCATGTTATAACCGCTTGTACGGTAGGAAGAGTAGTCATAAGAATGTGGTTTTAATATGGTATATGGAACTGAAGAGCGCGTGGAGCGCAGTGGCCGGAGGCGACCTGCAGTACACATGGAATTGATCCCCACGCCCATGGCTCACCAAGCGTACCATCCCTCCGGGGTCGGTAAATAGGTATCAGAATTGTTTAACGTTTTGTTTTCTGCCTTCTATAATTTTCATGGCAGGTTACTAAGCGAAATACAACCACAACGTTGCTGAGATATTTGCAAAACTCTGGACCGCAGGTGTCTATGGTGGGGAACGAACGCGCTATTATCCTTTCCGGGGAGTAACGCGTTCACCACCACACCATGTGGGTCCTTTGTTTCGCACGTCTCTCAGCTATTTCTAGATTGCTGTGGCAAAAAGATCGATAGAAATAGCTGAGAGACGTGCAAAACAAAGGACCCGCATGGTGTGGTGGTGAACGCGTTACTCCCCGGAAAGGATAATAGCGCGTTCGTTCCCCACCATAGACACCTGCGGTCCAGAGTTTTGCAAATATCTCAGCAACGTTGTGGTTGTATCAGAATTGTCTCTGGGAGGTTAGCAGCACTGGCTCAATACATCGGTAAGCCACTGCGTGTAATTGTAAAGGCCAGATATGCATTCAATCACCTCCAAACAATGCTTAATGAAGTCGAATGCATGGCGCACTACTCGGGGATTGATCAACGTCGAGAGTTTTGTCTTTTGCCTTTTTTTTAAACCAAAGTGATAGGGACGCACGCATAATTTCCATCCAAATTTCCATAAATCCAGACATCTGAGGCCAACTGTAGGAGGCTTGGCTCGCGGGCAAGTAATTGCGAAACCGAATCGAAAAGATCGCCGACCTATAAATGGACCTTTAAAATTACGATTGTCAACCTACTGCTAAACTAAAATTACCATTCTCCATGTGTTGTCTCTCACCTCTGTGGGATCAAAATCATATTCGTACGGACCATGCTCAACCATTTTCATTGCCAACGTTGAAAATTTCGTTTGCACTTTACGTCTAACCTTAACCAGCCGACTGTCAAAGGTAATACAATTGATTTTTGTAGAAAGAGCCCCATAGTACTGGACTGATAATGAGAAGTGAAAAAGTTCCCGTAATAGCCTTCAGCTTGCTAAGAAGTACTCACGTGAGTAATTTCTACTGATTAAATGCGTATGGTATCCCTAGCGCTACATTTTACCCCTGTCATCGTTCATTATAAATCAACAGTTTTATGTCTGACTAACAACAACGTATATTTCGTGATGGTAAGCCCTAGAGTCTTTTAAATGTTTATCAAAATATTCCGCTGTCAATTTGACAGACTCTTCATTCTTTTCCGTAAGTTGAGATGCATACCCTCCTAGCGACGGCGGCGTCCTGCTGCGTCACGTGAACCTCAAGAAACAAGTTTGCCTCCTGTTCTTCGATCGTCTCGTTCTGAAATGTAGCATTTCACGCTTCATACGCTTTCGGAAACAACTTTGTTAAGTAGGCGTTAAATTTCTCACCACAGGGAACTTATAAGCTTGATTGAAGTACCGCAGCGTGTCATGAAGTCGTCGAAGTGATGCGAAGTTCGGACTGATACTGTAGTACTTGTTGATTTCCTGAAAATTTCTTCTGTCTTTATAGGCTTTTTATCATTAGATGCTATTCGTTCAGACCAGAAGTGGCAGCGCGTTCGGTATTTGGTCAAGCCACTGAGCTTTCTCGGCTCTCTTCAAGCTATCCTTCCGTCGCTCTTCCAAATAACTGCTTACGACGGGCAATATTGACACTGTGACCAGCAGCAGAGCAATCATATACGGCAGTGCGTTTTGTAGGTCGTTGTGTGATACTTCTGCCAGACGAACTTGCTGCAATGGATTTCGATAGTAAGTGAGGATCTCTACAAACCACATAAAATGGTCTTTATTCACCGCAAACACGGGTTCTTCAACCTCGTTGCAGTAATCTTCCATGCAGCACATCAGAGCACCAGTACGAAGGCGCTGTAAGAAATGAATCATTTGCTTTAGTAATGTCTAGGTTGGTTTTTGATAATTTCCTTCTCTCTGTCTAAACAGGTTGGTGAATGTTTCTGTCAGATCCAGTGTCAACATTTGCTTTCTCTGCTTCGTGTTTCTTCCAACGGTCTACCGTCTCATCGTGGCTGGGAGGTGTTCCGGGGTTTCGGGCTGCTATATACAGCGAGGGATTCGTCCCTCGACAGGCTCTTCCAAGCTGAGAAGGCTTTTCCATCAGGAAGCCCAGCTAAGAAGAAACTATTATCAGGATCCACCACCGTCTCGTACCAAACTAGTCTCATGGTGGCAAATCTCTCTCTAATCCACAACAGCGGCGACTGTCTGTGGTGGTGACGACCTAGAGCAGATTTCCACTACTCTGACGTCGAGATTCTAGGGAAACGCAATAGCTAAACCAGCAAAACTCCGAAGAAATGGAAATTATGCTGGGGTCCGCATAATCAGTGAAGACGGGCCATCCAAGTGCCCAACTAACCAGGTACTTCATGTTATATTGTATATATTTGATAACAGCTACTCACAAAAATTTTGAACAAGTTTCGTTAGAGCTCGTTGTACGAGCGAAGCAGACAAACAACGAAGAAGTTGTGAAACGTTGCCTTTTGTGTATTTATGAGAGGTGTTTCGAATGAATGACAAATTTGTTTTAAAGGAGACTTAAAAAGAAGATGTGAAACCAGCGCCATCTCATGCAGTTTCTGTTCGGTTATGGATACCTAGTAGCTTTGGTAACGTACCCAATCAATTTCCGTCTTGGCTTGTTTGGCGTCCATGATTTACTTCCAACATCTACCACCTTCATATTTCGGTACTTAGACCGCCATTCGTCACGTCTGATGCGGGTCCCAGCACGTTTTCCAACCGTTTCCTTCTCGTGCGCTCGTCTTCTTTGGTGGTGAACTGTTTCGAGCGCTATGGCTTCAGTGAGTAGCATCCTCGGATCCACGAATAGTTTCGCTTTCATCTGCTAGCACAGTTGATTGACATGAGCCATAAACTTGTCCATTCACCTCGTGGCGGTTCATCGTAGACGGTGCTTAAGTCCTTTTTTAGTGCATTCTTCTGTCCTTCTCATCCATCTGTCATCATTCTTCTCATCAGATAGCCTGCCCACATGTACTACACCTTAAAAGTTTATCCTTCCGAATCTTGAATATGGGATAACTTTTGAAGTCCGTACTGTGCAGTCCAGCTAGATATTCTGTGTTTCTTGTATATTACAGAAGTTTTCGTTGTTTTGTTATCCGATTATATTTAAGAAGATATTCTCCAAGCGCTTTGTGAGTGATGCGTAGAATTTCCGTCTTCAACGCAATGTCAACGTTTGTCTCAGCTATATAGCATTGCACTGAAACACCATTGAGTCAAAGAGGTGAGTGCGGTGTTTACCTTCATTCAGATGACTGGTCAGTTCTCTGAGAAACGCCAAAATAGACCTTGCTACCGTCCTTCTCCCACACAAGTGCTCCTTCATGTTATTTTCCACAATAACAGAACGCCTTAGGTCCACTTATGGTATGGCCTCTGTAGTCAAAAAGTCTTCCACTGTGATTTTAATCTTGGTTTCATTGGTCTTTTATGAAATCGATTTCCTTTCGGTTTACAACGTAGTCGTATCCTTTCTTCGACTTCGTTTTCCTCCTGCACACCGTCACCGTTTTACCAGCATCTTGAGAAAAGTTTGGTAGAAATTTGTCATATGTATGTAGAATCTTTCCCCCAGAAGACCGATTTTATTATTTATTTCACTACGGTAGTTAGTAGCTTTTGTGATACCGAGTACTGCCAGCCACTATGAGATTGTGAACCGTTGAGAACTTCCGCTATTTTAAGTCCTACTTACTGATAATCCTACAAGATCTGGAGCATTACCAGTGTTCTGTCCTTAAGGAAAATGAGTTGTTTGTGATTACTGTAGTACAAACCCCTTCAAATTTGATCGTGATACTGGAAGAGAAATAATTACGTTGGTCGATGCACTTCTGAGGAAGGTCTTCGGCGTACACACATCCGTAAAGGGTTTCCATCGGTCGATATTCAGTAGATCTGCGAGAGTGCTTTTCATGCATTGTTTTTTTCTTTTTTACGCTATCACTTATTTGTTTCTGAATTTGCGTTTATCGTTATACTTACGGCACTACAATGTAGACGCAGAACGGGAAGAGAGAAGCCTTTGGAATCCGATTACAGGCGGTGTAATTGAATACACCGTTTTTATCCTTCCCATCTGCACAAATCAGCCGGTCCTTCAAAAACGGCAGAATTTTTTCCAACATAATTCAAATTGTCCATAGAATTTCCTAGTATTCTATAGCGCGGTTGTATATGCAGTCTACCTTCCAAAAGCTAATAACGAGTCAGGAAATAAGCTCCAGGATTTTGTGCTCAAAACTTAGTACTTCTGGTTTTCCATTGATGCAGTGTAACACCCACTCATTTTTTCCATAAAATTTCTTCTTGCTGCTGTAGGCATTGTATGAGCTGTTAAACAGACATTGTTTCAGTGGGGTTTAGCGACGCTTCATAGTGGTGCTTATGATTTTCATAACTAAATCAACAGTTAGATAGAGGGTAAATCTAGCCTATATTCAAGCATCTCTGTAATGCAATAGGGATGTGGTAGTGTCGTTGGCGACTTAGTTTCTCTAAGAGGATTGCTCGAAGTTTTTTCTAACAAACTTCCGTTGGATATAACTGGTGCTACTTCACTCACACCAACACCCTGCCATCATGCTAGCGCAGGTTTGACCATCACTTTTCAAGCGATATTATTTAAATCAACTGTTCATTCATAGTCATACTTCAATAAGCGATGGTATTTGTATAGAAATTACAATGGTCACTATTCCCTTGAGCGTTTGCTTGTAGTTCGCATATGGTGACCTCCGCATCAGTTATCATTGAGATCTATCGTATTATTCCTATGATATGTTAGTTTATTCTTGACTATGCGGTATGATATCCTTGACATAGCATTTGCCCTACAACGGCCTCCATTCCGGAGCATTTCGCCTTTCTCCAACTTCGAAGAGGTTATGTTAGCATGCGACCTTCTTGATAAATTAATATAGTTAGTTATTAAATCCAGTGCGCTGTACTGAGATAAGGGGCCAGATCACATGTGATGATTAATAGTTCCCTTCTGCCGTTCGTTTTTGCATTTCCGGAGTTTATCCTATACTCAACAAAAATCTTGTTGAAGTTTTACTTGCCATTGTAGTTTATATGTAAAGAGTCTTACAGGCGGTTACAAGCTTGTGAAGAACGTAGAGTTTTCGGTGGTAGTTCAATTATTATCACCGAATTTTTTCGACCAGCCTACTCTATGAAACCATTTGATAGCAGTGCTTGTTTAATTTCGTAGCCGACTCTTATTGACTTCGTCGTGAATGAGCTACATCTTGGTGATGTGGTTGTTACAAAGTCCCATTGTAGCTAAAGTTTCCGTGCAATTGTCTTCTTCAGAGCAGCAGTAATTCGGGTTCAGTAACTACAGCAGTCATCCCTTGCGATGTTGATCTTCATAGCTGTGTCAAGCGGAAAAGAGTGAAAGGGAACTCCATAGAATAAAATAACTCCACTCTAATGCTTTTAAGTACGGTTCCATCGGGGATTTTCTTCACGAAGACAATCCGTCTTTGGGTAATAGTTAGTGGTCTACCTCACTGCAAATGAAAAGCAAGTTAATGGGATTATAACCAGGCTAAATGATAAATTGGGGCTTGATATCTCCTTTAACGCATTGGCTGGCTTTCGAAGTGGCGATGATTGTCCTTTAATCATAGTGCTTTGTTACCGGAAGACTAGGAAGCGTATAGAAGAGTTTTTGCCTTTTTATTTAAGGGAATACATGGTTTTTTCAAGTGATGCTGTACGAAAAATTTTTCAAAGGTCGGATTTAGTTAAAAAAATAGAAAATAAATGTAAATCTTAGATGGACATTAACGATGGTTTTGGAAGACGCAAGCACCAACGATACATTCGGATGCCTCATGATATTTCGCAGGACGAATTCACCTACTCAATCGTTTCGCTGCTCGAAAATTCGTGAACGTTGAGTTTTTATGCTCTTTGTTTAACAGCTCATAATGTCCCTCCACCTCTTGGGTGGAACATATGCTGAAACTGTCAGCGTTTCATCCACGGTAGAACCGTTTTCGGCAACTGGATCTAGTTTTCGAAATACAAACTAATGAAAACATTTCGTGTTAGTTCTTGTCCTACAGCCGCCTTCCAATCTGCAAAGTTTCTTAGCGATTACTTTAAAGAAATGATGAGCTGCTGAATCGACGTAAACCGTACGTGGGTGGTGACCACCCGTACTTAATGCATGATCGGTTCGCAAATGCGTGACATCGAGGGATTCCACTCATACTTATCGTAATCACTTTGGTGCTTAGTAGAAGCACCCTATGATTATAAGCAACTGAATGCGCATGCGGTCATTACACATCGTGGTGTTCTGTCCGTGGTTTCGCCTGTGGTCATAATTATGGGCTTAACGTTGATTGATGATGGATTAGTCAAGGTGCGGTTATCACTAGACGGTAGTTTATGCATTTCGACAAACAAAGATAAGATCGCACATGTTCGTAGTTCGATCTGAAGCCAAGAAATAATCGGTAGCTTTAGATGTTCTGATCTACTCCCTGTTTGATTTCGCTCTTGATTTTTCACTTTTTTTGAGAAACGTTGAAGTCGTTTCTCCGTTATCTAACGGTTATGTCCATCTGATAAGGAATGTTTGCAATTTCTTTATCATTATGATGACTGAGATGTTTTGGAGTTTCAATTGACAACCTCATCAAAAGCTGTTACATTACAATATTAGCCGACGCCCAGGTTTTGAATATCGACCTACTCAAGTGATATATGCTATACGTTATCGGCCCTGTGGAGGTTACACGTCCGGAAATTTTCCTTCAACATCATTGTTGTCTGTTTTTATCGCTGCCGCGCGCAGTAGTTGTTAAGCGCTCTGCGATACTCGATACCGCGCCCTAGGCTCACCAAACCTTCCTTCCTTCCGGGTCAGCCCTTTGGTACCAGACTTGTTTGGTTGGATAACATCATTGACTCAATACATTGGTAGGCCACCGCAAGTCATTGTATAGCCCGTTCAGTGACCTCTAACGATGCTTGTTGAAGTCAGATGCATGGTGCATCCCTTGCATGGTGCAGATTGCCCAACCCCAAGAACTGTGGAGCTTTTTTATAGGTAAGCAGCGGTTAAGAAACATGTTCAAGTTTTAGTTTATCTTACTTTAAAAGCCAACTTTCTCCTTACGTCCGCATGATTAGTTTTCTTAGGCTATTAATCTAAGATGAGGTTGTTATACAATTTCTAGAGCACAGAGGCTATGAACGACCCACTCTAATGGTTACGGCTCTGAGGAAGGTGTAGACATCGAAACATTGACCGTATTGAACTTTTATAACGAGGTTGTTTCCTCTTAATCATCCGTGAAAATATCTAACTTGCTCTCATGATATTTTATTAGTCACGGTACTAATAATTATGCGCTTGGTTTATCTACTGGCTGTTGGTTCCTGAATATTATCTACGTGGAAATTGAAAAGGATTTGATAGTAGTTATAGCTGGCATTTTGGTGTTTTGCCGAAGCTCAGGTTTCGAAAACGTATGGAGTAGCTTTGTTGCCTAATACATATCCTTTCGGCTTATTCCGAAAATAGGGTTAGGAATTAAGTGAAGCCTTTTGTTTGGTAGGAGTTTATTTGCATACCCTCCTTGTCTGCGATTCACCAAACATCCATCTAAAAGTTTAAGCCATCCGCATCAGAGTGCCAGTTTTTCGGATTTTCCACATACTCAGTTTAGAAATTTTAGACCAGTTCAGCATTTGTACTTTTTTGTAAACTCACCATCTCTATCATTCCATGCCGATCCTGGGACAAGATTTTGCTGCATTGTTGGAGAAGCAGCAGTATGATAGTGGCCACTTGCTTCATTGCAATTAAATGAATAAGTAGTATTTGAGACTATTTGCCCGATAAGATATGTGGTAATTCTCAATCATGATGAATTATCAGTGAACTTTCTTTCGAAACAAGCTGGGACGAGTATATTTAGCCGGTATTCTTGAAAAGTGATTAAGTTTCTGATGTCCTATCTACGCTCAACGAAACAAGTATTCCTGATTGCTCCGGTGTTTTGTATCTGGGCAGAAAGTTAAAGTGATAAACAGTTTAGCTCTAGAGCTCTGCCACATAAAGCGAACGGCTGTAGTGGGAGCTACGAAAACGTTGAGAACGCAGTGTGGAGGCTGGGCGACGGACTCCAAAATCCCCAAGACCGAATTTCTATTAACCTCGGCGTTAGTTTGATGTTATAGAATTTATTAGGGCTCCAAAATCATTGTCCAAACCTAGGCGCTGCGACCACTGAACCATCGAGTTACTCGACGATAAGAGGTCGGGCATGACGGATAGAAAATTACAAATACTAGTATTTCTTGAGCAACGAATACAAGAAGTTACTTCATACACATATGTATACATTTATGTAGATATATTAATATATATAAGTAGATATATAAATACTTGAATAATTAGACGGCCTGTACTAACTAGTTGTGGGGACCCCAGGATATTCTCGATTTTTCCGAGTTTTGCTGGTTTAGCCATTGTGTTTCCCTGGAGTCCCGAGGTCAACCTTGCCAAAGTCTGCGCCAGGTTGTCGCCACCATAGGCACTCGAAGCCCTCGTAGAACAGAGAAATATTTGTCACCATGCTACTAATTTCATACGAGGACGGTCATCGATCCTGGTATTCGTTTAGTCTTAGTTGGGTTTCTTGAATGAAACGCAGGACTCCTTTTCAGCTAAGGTGACTTTGCCAGTGGCATGGATGCCACGGCTGTACATCGCAGCCCGACACCCAGAAAACACCTCCCAGTGACGGTGAGCAGGTAAACCATTGGAAGGATATATATATATGTGAATATTGAACACTGCACATTATTCGAATCCTTCGAACGTTACAATGCTGTATGTTCAATCTATACTATTGTTGAAAAATTTTCTCGTGAGTGTAAGAATTGTGGTCAGTAATTCTTCATCTTTCAAGTTTTCGTTGTAAATACACTAGAAACCATCTTCACCATGCTTTGTAAAAGTAGAAAGTAAAAGTGGGAGGTCAGATTAACGAGCAACCCTTGAAGGCATTTTGTCCGGCTGGTTGCACGTGAGCATAAGGCGTTACAGAATATTTTGGAAGGAGCTTTATAAATTTAGAATAAGAGTTCTGACCTATAC